AAATAAACGCTGGGCATATTCATTGTGCAATATATTGCATGTTGTTTTATACATAGTGTCTTACATATACATTGATCAACATTCGGAAGTAGATATTCCTTCTTGACAATGTGTTTGTGCCTGTTGAAGTTGTACATGATGTGAACAGCAGGCTTTAACCCTGCATCATGCTGTCCATGCATGCGTTACGGTCAGACTATTCCATATTTTATTTATATTATACACCCTCACCAAATGTCCTCTGCAAAAATTATTCAATGTTTGGTTGAAAAAAGCCCAAACTATTCACTTGACCTGGATATTCTGAAGGTATTGTTTTGAGATCGCCACTCATTTCCCTCTTTCAGAAAAAGAAATTTCTTCAAGTGCTAACTGAAAACATTTTCTGTCTCAAAGTGAAATGCCATGCTGTTCGTTATGTTGAGTAGATGTTCCTCAACATGCAACTTTATGATTTGTAGGTAAATAAGGATTTGATCTTGAAGTGAATGTTTGATGAAATAGATGTGTATGTATTGCTGATATGAACTGGGCCCCATTTCACAAAGCTTTCGTAAGCCTAAGATCTCGTAACTTTTCTCGTAGCATTCGTACCTCCTATGTTACAGTATAGGAGGTACGAATGTTACGAGAAAAGTTACGAGATCTTAGGCTTACGAGAGCTTTGTGAAACGGGCCCCTGGTGTATTTATTCATGGAGGTCAGACCCATTGTGAAGTGTGTGTATGAGAGACAATAATCTGTAAATATGCACAGCTTGTTTTTTTTTATTCCATCTTTGAAAAGTCTGAGTGATATTTAGGAGTTGTTGGATCACAAGACTTGATATATTTATGGACTATATTGGATAAAGTAGGAGGCACTGTTATCAGATCAATGGTCTGCCTCGACAGCCACATATTCAACGTCTCAGTCAGTCAGACATATTCAACGTCTACACAATCAATCAATCAATCAATTAATTAGTCAGGGCTGTGGGGTAGCCTAGTGGTTAAAGGAGAATACGAACGAAAACAAAACTTTTGATATATTGTAAAGGATATTCTAAAAGTCACCTTTTGTGATTATTAAAATTGAACAAAAAGTTTGTAAAATAGCAATAAAAACGTACTCGTGTTTCCGCCTATTACAGAAACACCCGACAGTTAATGAGCAGATGGGGTATCACGTGACATGACGTCATATGTGCCAGTTGCTGATGGCTTCCTCTTTGATTTTAGCTCATAACTTAACAGTGTCCATGGATTCTGAAGCAGTAAAAGATGTTCCTGATGTCATTTGTGAAATGGATGTTAGACCGTATCAATACGATCCGATTTACATCTTGCAAGACAATCTTCCAGTGACAATGCAGAAAAAGAATCGAGCGAAATGGAGGCACCGCTTGAGGTCAAAATAAATTTAAAATACACCATAACATTTAACAAGAATACTATTTGTCAGCAAAATGTGATCAGTTCCAACCAGCAAACCCACCCCTACAAATATATGACCAGTCCCTAAGAATTTCATGCCATGTGAGTCGACGGTCCGTCGTCATACCTGGCTGAGCGACCTAATTGCCATCTATAGTCTGATCTATTGTTTACAGCAGCTATTCGTATGTTTTCTAAGTTTTGCCCGATTTTACGAGTAAACATGCTTTTCTCGATATCCTATTACGTTTCCCACTGAACGCCCAGTTAGGCCGATGGGGGTTATTTCGACATGTGGTATTTGCAATCGTGTAAATTTTAGGGATACAGAGTAACAGCCTAAAAACATTTTTTTTCTATTTCCGACAGTACTTAAATAACTTTTAATATGAAGAGCATAACATCAAAGTTAACAAAAACTATGCATTTACGGCATATATTTAATCATGCGTCCGACTCGGAATGATCGGAGCATTTCTCCGGCCTATATCTCTCTTTTTACTTGGAACACGGAAGGAATGGTGGCTCTTTCCATTGTTCGATGATTCCGTGCATCCCCAGGCAACGGAATACACCATCGTACCATTTATAGAAACAACACGATTTGTATTACTGTAGCGCTTGTTCTTTGACAATATGGCGGACGCTAGTTACATATGACGTTACGAGCGGAAAGGTCACGTTAGTTCCAGCGGAATATGAATAATGGCCAAAGCTCAGATAACAGAAACTGTTTTCGCGATAAAAACATAATAATCCACATTGTTTAAATAAAAATTTTGGTACATGTTTCTAATTACTTTATCTTTCACCCAGCAAATCATTGCAACTGTCTAGTATTCTCCTTTAAAGGGTTCGATTGTCATGCCGAAGACCCGGGTTCGATTCCCCGGATGGGCACAATGTGTGAAACCCATTTCTGGTGTTCCCCACCATGATATTGCTGAAATATTGCTAAAAGCGGTGTAAAACACAAACTCACTCTCAGTCAATCAATAAGTCAGTCAGACAAGTCAAAACATTGATTACACAACAGTCTCGTTTCCTGTCGACTTGGTTCCGTCCTATTGCGCAACTTAGTACAATAACCAGTCCAGAATTTTGAGACCAATTCATTTAACTGGATACATGAATATTAATCAGAATTATTTGATACATCTAAGCACTTGTATATTGCAACACTACGCCCCTTCTAATCCTTGCAAACACGTCGTTCAGCGTGGTCTGTCAGACAGCGAGCACTGACAAACGGAAACCTGTAAATAGTCGAAATCTCAAAACGAGGCTCTGCCGCTAGAAAAGTTTGGCTGTCTGGTACCAGAGACACTATAATAGAGGGACGGCCCTCCCCAACAGTTTATCACTAACCATCAGCGCTACGGCCTGGCATGTAACTGATACACATCGACACCCTGCTGCTAACTTCCCTCTACCGGTACACATGCGCAACAGATGCGCAGACATTCGCAAATGAGCACTCTGGTAACCACGTAAACAATATTGCGTAATATCCAGGACGAGAGTTAATTCCCTTAGCGGGATTTCACCGGCTGCGTTTGACAGTTAAACATTACATGGACAGCTCCAATAAACTGATTACAATAATCTTAATTTTTATCTTATCTCTCATATGCACATGTCAACTGACAACATCGCAGAACATGTATCATTCGCGAAGTGCGTGTCGTCATAAGCCTGGAATATTTGTTTCAACATTCGGCATGGCCATGGACGACTTATTCATTCACTGGGATGATTCCGACTTGGACCTCGATATTTACTTGGAGAATTTACAGACTACGACAGGACAGAGAATATAAACCAAAAATACAAAAATCAAACTAACCCAGTCAGGTAAAGGCAGTTTTAACATTACAGTTGCCAATATCCCCGATGCTCGCTAAACGGATCATCACATGGTTAATCTCAAGATTTACTTGCAAGTATTCGTTGGCACAAAACGAGGGTGTGGTCAAGCAGTCGATGAAAGTAAAAATTCCTATTATATGGTCTCTGCTGGTACGGACTTGATATTATATCAATCACATTGTGCGTTACAGAACTACACTGAATAAGCGCAAAAAACCCCCACAACAGGTGTAACCAGTGAGCCAGATGCATTGTGAACCATTTTACGACCTCATCAAACTGGGGCAGTCTGTGACGTCTTAGTTAAGGTCATGCTGCCTACACCCCGCCATAAAATATAGAAGTACGATGTTATTAAAAGTTTAACATTTAAATTCATTGTAAATACCATTTTCTTACGAAACAATGAATTGGATTTCAGTGTAACCATAGTTGTTTGTGATGTCTATTTTCACTTTCACACCAGAAAATTCGGATCGGCTGAAAGTAGGTCATTGTCTGTCAAGGTTTTAGATAAAAACATTAGAGCTATTATAATTAGTTGTTAAAATGTTCGCTCGTCACGCCGAAGTCCCGGATTCGATTCCCCACACGTGTACACGGTGTGAATCTTTTTTCTGGTGTCCCCCTACGTGAAATTGCTGAATATTGCTAAAAGTGGCGTAAAACCATACTCACTCACCCACTACTTACCTGGCGATAAAATGTCTGAACTGAATTCGAACCCATTACCCAACATCTGAGCTGCGGCGTTCTTTCTAATCCCCAAGTGCCGAGCTGCGTCTTGTTTCTGACCGGTCAACACACGGCCACTCTTGGTCATTGCCAAACAAGCACTGTCTTATCTATATGAACGGCACCTTGACCAGTGCTACTTAAATGCGAGCAAGTGTCCGGTTCGCCAATCCCCCCATCACTGCGTGGCCCAGAATGTTGGCTGTTCTCACAGGGTTGTGTTTCGCCGTCACCGTCGCCGAGGCTCACATGCTTCGCGGAACAATTGACTCCACCAAGGTTGGTATTGTTGGCTGAAGTTTAACAAATGTTTGTTATTATCACTTGATCCAATGTATGTTTTGAAATGCGCAATACGAGATAATGCCCAAAACTGTTAAATATGAAATGGTTTATTTCTACCTGTAACCTTGTATTTAATATAACACGATCTGAACAACGATGAAGATACGTGATTAGATTGCGGGTTCTATGTGTTGTCCTGTGAAAACTGTGGGCTAGCCTAGTGGCTAATTATAAAGCGTTCATTCGTCATGCCGAAGACCCAGGTTCGATTCCCCACATGGGTACAATGTGTGAAGCCCATTTCTGGTGTCCCCGCCGTGATACTGCTGGAATATTGCTAAAAGCGGGGTAAAACCAAATTCACTCACTATAAACACTGCTATCGCCATTACAGGTGATACACATTTAAGCGCACCCTTGATTTATGTACGCAAAACCCCATTCTTGGACATACTGAAAGCGTAGTTGATACAGAAATGCTCAAATATCAAAACAGTTCTTGCAATTTTTAATTATGGAAAAAATAAATGGTATTATTTTCTTTTGCTTCTCGGTTTATAATGAATAGTTTTCATAACAGAATGGTGAAAAAAGACAGCCGAGGGCGTCGGATTTATTTTACCATTAAGAAATTGTCGAAATGCACCTCTTTAAGGAGTTCACAAATACGTATTTGAGTGACTTTAGAGAACGACTAGATAGGCTGAAGAGAGACGGGAGGATACCCGAATGAGTGACTGTGGTTATTGTTGAACTTTATACGCCCTTGGTTTCTAAGTACAATATCACGTTGATATATTTCGGTTTTGTTTTTGTTTTAATTTTTTAATAATTTCCGTTTATCAAGACGATGTTTGTTTTGCCAGGAGCTGTTTTTAGGCGTTTTGACAAATCATTGGAAAAAGGGCCGCGCCATTGTAGTCAAATCACAATTTTCTTCCTGGAAACAGAATCAAGGCCTACATGACAACTCTGATCCAGCTTAATAACCTAGCTAGCTGATCTATGTAATGCAGTAACCCGGATGTCGTGTTTCAGGGTTGGACTGTCCTCGGCAGTTACTGCTTACCCCCCAAGGAAGGAAGTGTATACTTCAACATCCGATACCCGAAGGTAACAAGTATGGTGTAAATGGTATCTTTCAATGTTAATTTCGATTTTTCCTCACAAACAATAATGGAACATCAAAATTATCATCCGGGTGAATATACCGTAGAGGATCCTCTTCATGGCCTTTAGGTCTCGGAGCTGTTTGGACGGCAGTAGACACACACCTTACATTAAAGCTATCTTTATGTAAATAGGTATTCACAAAATAAGGACAATCCAAACGGAGCCATGAGCAATGCTCAATCCGCTAGAGCTGAGTCAATCTAGACTTGCGGAAATATTGTAGACTTGAGTTGGAGTCAGTTCCAGTATAATCTCAAGGTTGTGGACGACAGATGACGGTCTGAGGTCTGGGATAATTGCCCTAGCTATATTTGTGATAAACTTGAAATGTTACAACTTGAAGCAGCAAGAATTGTAACCGGATTGCCTAAATTCGCTTCAAGATATAGTTTATACAGTGAAACTGGTTGGTTGCCATTGAAAGTTAGACGAACACAAAGGAAACACTGTACATTCTACAAAATTGTTAACATGCAAGCTCCTGATTACCTGATAGATTTACTTCCACCTTTTACTGAAACCATTTCCGGATACAACTTGCGTAACAAATCAGATTTGGCTGTTCCTAAATTTCGCACCTCAATTCTCCAAAAAGTCATTTATTTATGATTCCTGCAAGTTTATGGAATGCTCTCTCCTCTACAACAAAATGTACAAATTCATTATCATCGTTTAAATCAAAGTTATCTGGAAATAATGACAAGGTTCCAAAATATTTTCTATTTGGTGAAAGAAAGACAAATATACTACACACAAAGTTAAGACGTTCGTGTAGTTCATTACAAGCAGATCTGTTTCGTGTTAATCTATCAGAGAGTAGAGCTTGCAATTGTGGTGCTCCGGTGGAAGATGCTAACCATTTCTTAAAATGTCCAAAATTTGTCAGTTGCCGTTTTGATCTGAAGAAAGACTTTGAACTGTCAAAAGTTCAGTTAGACATTGATACCATTCTTTACGGCAACCCTGCTCTGCCAAATACTATCAATGAAAATATCTTTAGACATGTGCATAAATACATTGTACGAAGTAAGCGCTTCAATTAATCAATAATATGTCTCAATATTATTATGTCCATCCATTACGTCCAATCATTATTGTTCATTATTGTTCATGTTTCAGATGGGAGCGGGCGGTAATAAGTTACATAACTGGTGACCAATCCATTTCAACACTGAATAAAATATGTTCAAACAAACAAACAACAGATAACGGTGGTGAGGTGTGACAGAGATGAACGATTGACTTTCTTGACTATAATGATAACGTTCACCAAAACGTTCGAAAGACGTGTTATTGGTCTCAAGCAAAGGTAGTATCACTCCCCGAAAAGACAGTTATAAGAAATGGCCACATTAACAATTCTCGCCAATCAAACAGCTCTTCATCACATGCCTCAAATACACACTTTATCATCTCTATTCCTGTCTTGCAGACTTACGCGCCTGAAACGCTGGTGTTGTTTTATGACGACCAGGCAACTCTCATCAAGAGCGCTCCGGTAAGTGGACGTTTTTCAACTATAAGGAACCGATTTTAACGATTCATACGGAAATACAGCCTCGTTCCCCGATTATATAGGCCTCTTACCTAATTCTCTCAAATGATTTACAAGTGTGAAAAACATTGCAAACGAGTTAGGAACAGTCGTTTTTCGATCGATGAGCAGATAGAACAAGGAGTTTTAGGCTATACAATAAACCAATGTTAAAACTACTGATATTATTTCGTTATAGGCCCGTGAAGATCCGGGTTAGAATTGGTTTCAGTAACCCATACCTATCGTAAAAGGCGACTAACGGGATCGGGTGGGCAGGCACGCTGATTTGGTTGACACATGTCATCGTATCCCAATAGCGTAGATCGATGCTTATACTGTTGATCACTGGAATGTTTGGTCCAGACTCGAATATTTCAGACGGCCGCAATATAGCTCAACAGCATAATAATAATAATAATAATAATAGTCCTTTTATATTGCGCATTTATCCATGCACATTGCATGCTCAAAGCGCTGACATATTGCCCCTGGTCAACGAAAACAGAACACTCCCTTTGGAGAATACAACCGGTCGCCTGTCAGGCGCTCAAGGTTCAAATTCGGACTACCATCGTACCATACCAGGTACCCAATTTTACTGCTGGGTGAACAGAGGCAAGTTTGAACAAACTCACTTTCCTAAGGTGAGACCATATGTATCACATATCCTTCGTTGTGGGGCAGGACTGAAGTCCTAGATACTCTCAGGAGTCAAGCTGCATGAGCATCGATCTACGCAATTGGCAGATCAGTTCTAACCCGGATTTTCACGGGTCGACAAGGAAAACCAAGGAAGTGGTCTGAGGTGGAAAATAAAGTAACTGTTACATGTTGTTGATTTCAGAACTGTAGCTCCAGATACAATATACTGAAAGCAGAGAACGACGAGTTTGTGAAGCTGACACCTGACTTCCTGTTTACTCGCTGTCAGACCGTTATGAAAAATGGCGAGGCCTGGTACAGTTGCTATGGTCACCGATCTTTAGTAACCAGTCAAGACCGAATGTGGTATATTGGCGTCTCTCATTGCCAAGACAAAGTAAGACTTTGAAATCATAGTTTTAGTGAGTGAATTGTGTATTCAAATATATCAATATATGTTGGCTTGTTCGTCATCAGGTCGTAAATATTTACATTTTTGTTGAACCCTCTGAGTAAGCGGCACTGTTGCTAATATACATTCTAACATAAAATTGTGGCGATTCGTTCAAAACTACCATCAGCGAATCCTGGCGTGACCAAGGGGCACAACCGTGAAAGAATTTCAAGGTCTTCGACCACTGGGTTGTGAAACTTACATCAAACCAGTGTGATGAAGTCACGCTGTTGTTGTCGCGGTTGATTCTTATCCATGAACATGTATTGAGTGAAAATGACCAACGTCAGGTCATTATGAAAAACACAGAAATTATACACCTCCAGATGTGGGTTTAAAAATGGAAACATCACTGGACTGTTTTGGTTCCGGGTGTTAATGATAATGATCAACTCGCCACTTTGCGATTCATCTGTCTTCAACATCCAGAAGTCGACGAGCAGGAGGAAATCGCTGATTCCACTCGGGAAACAACAGATTAGTAACGTTTTCCCATTAGCTAATCGTTTCCTATAAAGCAGGCTGTGACTGATTGAAGTCTGTAAGGTTTTCAGTAAAATACCCTTGTTTACACTGACACCCGAAATGTTATTTCCATCGACAGCCGTCTGGCATCAAGCTTGACTACCTGATCAAGTTTCTCAACTACGGCCAACCCGGAAAATGCAATCAGACATCCATTCCCTTTGGTGATGTAAGTATTAGGAAACAGAGGGGAAAACTGCATATCTGTTTCCTTGAATCTTTATTTTAATATTATGACAGTCGTATTCTAGAAACGCATAATATATTTTCTCAAAACATGGAGACTATTACTAAAATAAAATTTAGTAAAGTACCGACTATGAAATGATCTCGAGGAAGATAGGGCGTTATCCTGCCGAGATGTCAAATGCGACGTTAAAACTACACTCGCTCACTCACTCACTCACTCACTCACTCACTCACTCACTCACTCACTCGGCTGTACCCGCAGAGGTATGTTGTGATTTGACACCTTTCACCTGTCGAACTCAACGTCATGGCAGAATGGAGGTTTTCCTCTGTTGCCAAAGGTAATAAATGTTAAAAAATCCCATAGATCATCAGACTAAATACAGCTATAGGCCCATGGATAATCAGACTAAATACAGCTATAGGCCCATGGATAATCAGACTAAATACAGCTATAGGCCCATGGATAATCAGACTAAATACACCGTTATAGGCCCATGGATAATCAGACTAAATACAGCTATAGGCCCATGGATAGTCGGACTAAATACACCGTTATAGGCCCATGAATAATCAGACTAAATACAGCTATAGGCCCATGGATAATCGAACTAAATACACCGTTATAGGCCCATGGATAATCAGACTAACTACAGCTATAGGCCCATGGATAGTCGGACTAAATACACCGTTATAGGCCCATGGATAATCAGACTAAATGCAGCTAGAGGCCCATGGATAATCGAACTAAATACACCGTTATAGGCCCATGGATAATCGAACTAAATACACCGTTATAGGCCCATGGATAATCAGACTAAATACACCGTTATAGGCCCATAGATCATCAGACTAAATACAGCTATAGGCCCATGGATCATCAGACTAAATACAGCTATAGGCCCATGAATAATCAGACTAAATACAGCTATAGGTCCATGGATAATCGAACTAAATACACCGTTATAGGCCCATGGATAATCAGACTAAATACAGCTATAGGCCCATGGATAATCAGACTAAACACACCGTTATAGACCCATGGATAATCGAACTAAATACACCGTTATAGGCCCATGGATAATCAGACTAAACACACCGTTATAGACCCATGGATAATCGAACTAAATACACCGTTATAGGCCCATGGATAATCAGACTAAACACACCGTTATAGGCCCATGGATAATCAGACTAAATACAGCTATAGGCCCATGGATAGTCGGACTAAATACATCGTTATATACCCATGGATAATCGAACTAAATACACCGTTATAGGCCCATGGATAATCAGACTAAACACACCGTTATAGACCCATGGATAATCGAACTAAATACACCGTTATAGGCCCATGGATAATCAGACTAAATACAGCTATAGGCCCATGGATAGTCGGACTAAATACATCGTTATAGACCCATGGATAATCGAACTAAATACACCGTTATAGGCCCATGGATAATCAGACTAAATACAGCTATAGGCCCATGGATAGTCGGACTAAATACATCGTTATATACCCATAGACAAGCAGACTAAATAGATTTCCAATGTTCTTTGAGTCATCTCCACTTGGCAGCACTGTAGTGATGAATTCACATGTTACCCACCTGTAACTTACACATACTGGCAACGGAATATACATTCCTGTTTTTTATCTTTGTTTCAGATGATAGGGTGAACATCATCAACATCTACAATAACATCAACTCCAACAACATCAACGTCAACAACATCAACATCAGCAACATCTACAATAACATCAACATCAGCAACATCAACAACATTGCTCAGTGAAATATAGTTATATGGTGTCGGTTGCCTTAATTTGAATATATGAGTACATGGAAGTGGTTATCGTTTGTTCTTCTTCTTATTGGTTTAGTTGGTGTTTCACTACTGGGTGGTGCCATTTTAGTTAATCGGACATCTGGAGTGTGAGATATTTCTTCTGTACGCTTTTAATTCTTTGTCAATCACATTTTGTGACTTATAAATACACGTTCCGAAAGTCATCTTGCCGAGGGACATTTTTGTGGAAACCGTTGTGGCTCAGTGGGCTAGATCGCTCATTTTGTGGCTTCTCTTTTGCTAGACCCGTGCAGGACCGGGTTAGAATTGATCTTCAGTAACCCATGCTTGTCGGGACTAACGGGATCCCAATTGCGTAGATCGATGCTCATGCTGTTGATCACTGGATTGTCTGGTCCATACTCGATTATTTACAGACCGCCGCCATATAGCTGGAATATTGCTGACTGCGTCGTAAAACTAAACTCACTCACGCACTCACTCACTCTCTTTTGCCACCACATTGTAACCACGTGCTACAGTAGGGATTTGTAAGGAGAGAACTGCAGCCGCGCGGATTCGGCGGAAACACAGCACAACTGGCCGTTTGGAGACATTCGTGATCCATTCGTGTTATTCCGGGACAAGTTGAAGAACGACTGGAAAGATTTCATTTTGGCGTATGAGTAAATGAGTATGGTTTTACGTCGCTTTTAGCAATATTCCAGCAATAGCAAGTGGGGGACACCAGAAATGGCCTTCACACATTGTGACCATGTGGGGATTCGAACCCGGGTCTTCGGCATGACGAGCGGACGCTTTAACCACCAGGCTACCCCACCGCCCCTAGTGGGACGACAACTCTATTTCTGTTAAATTGACATAGTAATACATTACTTAAGCACTCGAAATGTGCTGCTTTGAAAAGGTCAACCTTATTTTAATCATATTAATGATAATTTGTTGAGAACATGTTCTTACGTAATTACTACCATTTCTAACAGTAAAAAAACATTAGTTGCTGTTTGTTGTTACACTTGTTTTAAACTATGATGATGATGATGAGAATGATAAGTTGAAAAAATGTGTTTTATTAAATTTTATTTTACAGTTGTATTAAACATTAAATTTTGCAACACGATACTATTAGCCATGTTCTCTGTAATGTTCAAATAACGATGCAAGTTTTTCACATAACGCTAGCTATAATCGATTTAAATACTCGGGATTATTTTTTATCAAAGTACCTCAATACTTACACGCATTCTGATTAGTTTGTCGTATACTAAACATAAAAAGAAACTTCACATTAGTTACTTTATATCCCAAACACCCATACAGAACAAATTGTGTTGCTGGTGGATAGTAGTTGATAAATCAGGATTAGGCATAAAGGTGCCCGTCGTGCACTAAAACAGGATTAGGCATTAAGGTGCCCGTCGTGCACTAAAATAGGATTAGGCATTAAGGTGCCCGTCGTACACCCTGCACAGTCAACAGTAGCACAATGGGTCACATTTTTTATTTCACGGGGACAGGCCATCTCAATTGGAGCTTGTTCAGTATCATGTATCAGTGCCCCCTCTCGCACTCACAACAGCAAGGAAACGTTGTCTCATCGACTGTCTAACACCCGCGAACACAGCATAAGAAACCTGCGACATTGCTGTACCGACATTCTGGTGTTTACGCCTCAAGTTGAATACTTCTTCCAAGAGCCCCTCATAAGTGTTCTATTGGATTAAGGTCAAGCACAGAGGTGCGCACCACCCCTTTCGTCCTCAAAGTTCATCAAATGACCATTGAAATAGAATAAAGTGTGCACCCCATCCCCACCCCCTTTCTCAAGAGTGTGCACACATCCCCATCCCCCATACACCCCCTTTTCTCAAAGAGCTGTATCCGCCCCTGAGGTGCCGTATTCGTTTCATGCAAACGTGTCCTCGGGTTGTGAATTGTCTGTCTACTGCATCTCATAAGGTGCTACACCCACAGTAGACTGACTACCTTCGAGTATGCCAGTTGCACGTTCACGTTCAACCTTTTTAAGGTGGCGACGAACGCTCCAAGAAGACTCGATTATCGTCGATATTTTAAGATTGCAAACAACATAGCTAGGAGAAGTGTGCTGCCTAACTTAAAGGTTTTAAAAGGATAGGACCACGAACGATGGCATACTGCGTTTGTTTATATAACGGCTCTCGTGTTTCCTGTAGAGTGTTTTCCCTGACGATCTTACAGGCTTGCTTTTCAGATTTTACGTGCGCTGTCCGACATTTTCAGGTATTGTGACTATAAATACCTTCACATTTAAAAACAATATAGTGAGTGAGTGAATTTAGTTTTACGCCGCATTCAGCAATATTCCCGCTATATGGCAGCGGTCTGTAAATAATCGAGTCTGGACCAGACAATCCAGTGATCAACAGCATGCGCATCGGTCTACACAATTGGGAAAGGATGACGTGTCAACCAAGTCAGCGAGCCCTCTAACCACGCGATCCCGGTAATCGCCTCTTGTGACAAGCATGGGTTGGTGAAGATCATTTCTAACCCTGATCTTCACGGGTCGAGAAGAAAAGGAACAGCAACAATGTTTTATCGTTTTCTTAATTAAGACAGTTTGATAATTGGTTTTATTTGACTGAACTTGTTGCCTTATAAAGAATTCATGTCAGCCCCGACAATATCCATCAAGACGCCTGTAAAAGACTCATTGTTACAAGTTCACGTGTTCAATGGATGCCTAATATGTTCACAACATAATATTCCACATTCACGAGACAAACAATATGGCTTTTCATCTGTTATTGCAATTTAAAAATCTAAGGTTGAGATATTTACGATAATGATGAAATCTTATCCATGGATCGATACACACAAACAAACGAGACATGTGTCAACCAAGTCGGCAAGCCAGACCACCCAATCCCGTTCATCGCCTCTAACGACGAGCATGGGATATTGAATATCAATTCTAACCCAGATCTTCACAGGTAGAATACAATATGACTAATCATTGTTAATCACAGCGTCTTTAAATCCACTGGGCATATTTAAGTGAAATGGGGTGTCAGCAGTTTTGTATATAAAATATTTTAAAATGATCGGAGGGGGGAGTCACTTACTTCGTACATAAAGTTGGGGGTGGGGGTGGGGTGGGGTTCATTCACATTGTATATGCTTCTCCTCCATATAACTCATCATCATCCCTTACTATCTTAATTCAACAGAAATTGAGTTCTTGTTTGGTGTAGTTCTGATAATCATACGCCAATATGAAACCCTTCCGAAGGGACGCGAGTCACTTTTCGGATTGGCCCGGGTGGCCTCCGGGACAAGCCAAGATAGACATTGTATCTGGAACGAACGGGAACCAGTCTAGCGAAGGATACCAGCGACACCAAGCGGAGGATTCGGATAACCAGTCTAAGCTAGCGCTGTAGAGGAGTTCTTCTTCCTATAAGGGAGAACGCTGTGAAACACATCGTTGTAATGAGCTTGTTGAGCGCATCGCTATATTTAGAACAGGTTTTTCCAGCTGCAGCTTGTCTCAACTGTGGAGTCGTCCGCGCATTTCCCAAACAAGCAAATCAGTAAGTAGGTTTTCGACGGATTTATGCTAATTGGTAATTGTCACGCTATCACTATTAAATGTCGGGTGGATATCGATCTAGACTGGACCCTTGTAATCAAACGTTTCCTTGGTTACCGATGCATGTCCGTTGTCATTACGCTGGGCGCCGTCTCGCATATCTTAATATACAAGTTGGTGCAAGTTGGCGCGCGAAAAGGGAGCCGGGAACCAGCTTAATGTGTCATTGCCTAGTACAGTCTCCCACAGAACAACTTACTCCGTAGCACCCTGTGTCTTGGTTTGCAGTTGCTTTACTCGGCTAACACCACTGGTGGAAATACTACTTTTAACTTTTTCGACAGTGAAAATGTCGAGCTCGACTCATTCGTGACCCATTCGTAACAACTCGTTTCATTCCGGCAAGCCGGATGGCGTTCGCCTGTAGGTCACGGAAAGAGGCGAGTAGTTACGAATGATTCCTAACCAATTCGTGCCTGAACATGCCGAACATTCGATACCATTCGCCCCTTTCCGTAACCTCCAAGAAGACTCTTCCCCCCTCTCGACGAGTGTTTATATGTGCGAAATACGACAAACCAGTCAGAACGCGCGTAATGATTGCGGTGCTGTGATAAAAAATAATCCTGAGTACTTAAATCGTGTATGGCATTATGGCATTGTTAAAAAATCATGAGAAATATGTATCATCATATTGAAAGTACAAACAACTCAGCTGACAAAATTGAGTTGCCTGATAGGAAGTTTTTAATATAGGTGGGGCCATGAACGGTGAGATTCAAATACACGTACATGCGTTTGTTTACATAACGGGTCTCACAATGGAGTCTATTTCTGACGAACTTGTGGGCTTGTTTTGGTGATTGTACGCGCGCTTTCCGATATTTTCAGGAAATATAAATATAAATCGCTACGAGTTTTGAAACAGTAATATTGCATCTATATATAACTTATCAACCTACTCTTTAACATTGGGCTCAAGTATCTGCCCCAGGATAATTTAGTCTGACTTTTTGGGGGTCATTCAAACTTGTTTCAAATGTATTCAGTTTAAAATTCTACTACGGATATGGCAGAAGGGTTACACGAATGTTTAGTTTGAGTAATAGGCTTCTCTGCCCAGTGACAGTTGAAGTTGGCTATAATAGGGTTTAGGGCCTTGCGTTGTGTACTTTTTTTATGTGGTGATGGGAAAGTAGCCAACTTCAAATAGGCTCTATGAATCAGGCCTCATTGCTGGTAAAAACATAACAAATAGAAAAGAGAAACTCAATAATGTATTTACAAAACCTAAACCTATCCTGACCTAACCCCAAACCCTAATGAGACATGGCTCTGATTTCAGAGCCTATGTCTAAAACAAATAAATATCTTAATTTCCTATGTAACAAAAAAATACCTATATACTTGGTCTGGATTACCAGGACTCAAGCAACTGAAATAAATG